TACTTTTATAAACACACGCTATAATTCACAGTGATTCACACACTTTACTTACGGTGTCTACTGTTTGCTTGACTCAATTATCAATTATTTCTCTTCAATCTATCTTTGGCTTATATACTAAAAAAGAGGGCGTCTAGCAAATGCTGGGACATTCATGAGGTTGCCCGATAAGTCGCGATCCTTCTAGAAACTCCAGCGCAAATGCTCCCAGTGCCGCGTGACTTCCGCTGTCATAACAATAATAATAAAAATCAATACAAACTGGACAGATTTACTTTCAAATATAGCAAGAAATTAATCAACACCAAGAAGCTTGATACTAAAGCATCCAGGTCTTGAAGGACCACAATGAGCATGTCTTAAAAGAAAGTCAGCAACTTAATTACACCTAGATGAACAGGATCAAATGATATATGTGTATATTAAAATCAACAACTCACTCCCACTCAAAAACACACTATCAAATTAAACAAGTCTAGGTGGAAATTAACAGCTTTAATTAAGCATATTAGAATGAATTGGTCAACTAGACCACCCTTGGAACTGTGAAACTTTGTAAAGTACTTTAACTAAATACTTGTCTGTGAATTTCTAAAGCTTCAGCTAAGTCAGTACGAGTGAAAGCTGATTTCCATGCTAGGAATAAAAATATTTCTTTTCATCTTTGAGTTTCACATTACATTTATAAACTCTAGAACCTTCTTAATGAAATGTTATTTCCTTTATCCTCACAATAACTGTAGAGAAATTATCAATGTAATGAAATAAAGAAATGAAAAATATGTAATAAAATTAATAAAATCATTTTACTTCTATATTGACTGCAGTATTGGTCAGAAAGTTCTAATTATTAACCTTTTTACATCTGTTTTCTTTTAATATTATGATTTTATTGTTGTACTTTGTACCCACTGGAGCAGTAATCCTCACATCGAAAGCAATAAATCACAGAAGGAGAGCATTAACTGTTTCCTGTAGAACTATTGTAAACAGCAAATGGCCTGAACATTATGTTTCTCACCATGTTGGTGCTAGTGAAATTTTAGAAGTTATATTTTACTGAAGTTTTGGTCAGCTGAGTGAGAATTTTAAATATGGGTGCCCCCCAAAACAAATTCAAGTAACATTGAAACATGCATTTTAGAACATAAAAAATATATCAGACACTAGAATAGATTGGCCAAAAACTAGTATAATTCACCCAGCTATCATAAGCTATAAATATGTTTAGAAAAATCTGTTACTGTTCAGAGAATCAAAACAGATCAACACAAACCAAACAATTCTTGTTAACTAATGGCAGGTAAATTGAATGTAAAATTGTAAGATTTGCATAAAGGTTTATTAGTTATAAACATGTCCATCAACCTTGTGGAGTTGATTGACAAACAATTTCAAAATCAAGAGAGAGAGAGAGGAAGGGGGGGGGGTAGATTATCCAGTGAGTTTGAGAAATTTACTGATATCTCAGAAAATCAAGGGGGTAGGAGGTTCAAATTTTAAATTCTTGCTTGTAATTATTTTAGAAGTTAGAAAATATTGAAGTAAAGAGGTTTAAGCTCAGACGTGTCATGAAAAATGAAGATTGGAATTTTTTAAATATTTCCCTTTGAAGTTACAATTTACATAATATAAAGAGTTGAATTATAAATTAGGTTTTCATCCCAAATTTATTGATAATACAGTTGTAAATTTTGAATGTAACATTGTATAAGTTCATGACATGTATGTTTTGACCCGATCATGATGAGAAGTCAGAAGTTCAATTACATCTGAGGAATGGTACCTCAATTTACAGGTCTTGGTGGGAAGTCAGAAATTCAATTACATCTAAGGAATGGTACTTCAATTTACAGGTCTTGGTGGGAAGTCAGAAGTTCAATTACATCTAAGGAATGGTACCTCAATTTACAGGTCTTGGTGGGAAGTCAGAAGTTCAATTACATCTAAGGAATGGTACCTCAATTTACAGGTCTTGGTGGGAAGTCAGAAGTTCAATTACATCTAAAGAATGGTACCTCAATTTACAGGTCTTGGTGGGAAGTCAGAAGTTCAATTACATCTAAGGAATGGTACTTCAATTTACAGGTCTTGGTGGGATGTCTAAAGTTCAATCTAAAAGCATGTTACCAAACTATATAGAAATGGATGGGGAGTTAACAGTTTAAAAACACACAGATGCATGACACCACAAATATAGAAATGGATGGGGAGTTAACAGTTTAAAAACACACAGATGTATGACACCACCAATATAGAAATGGATGGGAAGTTAACAGTTTAAAAACACACAGATGCATGACACCACTATATACAGGTCTGGATGGGGAGTTAACAGTTTAAAAACACACAGATGCATGACACCACCAATATAGAAATGGATGGGGAGTTAACAGTTTACAAACACACAGATGTGTGACACCACTATATACAGGTCTGGATGGGGAGTTAACAGTTTAAAAACACACAGATGCATGACACCACTATATACAGGTCTGGATGGGGAGTTAAAGGTTTAAGAACACACAGATGCATGACACCACTATATACAGGTCTGGATGGGAATGTTTGTTTGTTTTGGAATTTCGCACAAAGCTA